TGGGATGGGATGGGATGGGATGGGATGGGATGGGGAAGAGAAGCAGTGCCACCTTCCTCATGTTCCTGGCATGGGGAGGGAAGGGCTGGGAGCAGGCTGCTCGTGGAGCTGGTGGCACAGGTGCCTGACAGTTCTCACAGGAGAAGCTCTGAGCCCAAAGTGTCCCTGCTGTGGTGGCTGTGCCCTCGTGGCCACAGGACTCGCTGTGGGGCAGGGGTGGAGGCACCTGGAGAGCCTTTCCCAGTCCTGCTCTCCCAGCTTAGGGGGACACTGGGCGTGGCAGAGCGAAGAACTTGCCCGGGATTGCCCTCCTCTCGATCTCGAGCCACAGGGAGAACAGATCCAGCTCCCTGTGCTCCGTGGCCAGCTGGAAGGTGAAGCTCTGCAGCAGCGTGGTGAGGAACAGGAAGAGCTCGATGCGGGCCAGCGCCTCCCCCGGGCACATCCTCTTCCCTGGGCATGAGAGAGGGGGGATGAGGGGACAGCAGGGTGGGCAGGCACCCATGGGGAGTGAGGGGACAGCAGGGTGGGCAGGCAGCCATGGGAACTGTGGGGCCACTGGGTGCCTGTGCTGGCACCCCTGGGCATGGAGCTGGCAGGGTGGGGCAGCACTGACCTGCTGAGAATGCCATGAAGGCCTCGCGCTTCCTGAACTCGCCCTTCTCATCCAGGAAGTGTGCGGGGTCCACTTTCTTGGGGTTCTCCCACTGGGTTGGGTCCGAATGCACAGAGGAAAGGACCGGAATGACAGGAGTGCCCTGTGGGAGAGGGATGGGGCAGGGATGGGACATCAGTGCCCTGCCTGGGCTCTGCTGGGGTGGATTAGTCAGGGGGGGAGCATCCAGGGAACACGGGGGAGGCTGGGTGTGCACCCCAGTACCCAAGCAGGTTCCCATTGGTGGCTCTGTGCCACTGGGACAAATGACATGGGGCTCTGTTGTCCCCATGGTCCTCATGGGGCTCTGGTGTCCCCATGGTCCTCATGGTCCTGCCAGCCTCTGTGCAGCTCATGGGACACAAATTGCTGAGTTATTCCTGTGGATTTCTGTTAAAGCCTCTCTCACTGCCCCAAACCCGAAGGCAGGAGCTGTTCCCTCAGGGTGGGTTTTGTGCACAGTGCTCGTGGTCAGACAGGAGGGGTGGCCGTCCCCACCTCTGCCGAGGGCTGGGGGCTATGGCCTGACCCCACCCCAGGCTGGGCTCCTGCTCCAGCCCCACAGCCTCTTCTCCTCCACGGGGAGAAGAGCTGTGTTCCAGGATGGGCAAGGAAGGACCCCGGGCTGTGGGCAGGACAGGCAGACACTCATGTACCTCTACTCCCCTCTGACAGGTCATTGCTACCGGGATTGGGAAACACCCGGGGCCTCCAGACCAGAGCAAACAGTCCAAGGACAAAGGCAAATGGCCCTGAAGCCCCGCTGCCACCTCTCCCCAGGGCCAGCCCGGTACCTTGGGGATGGTGTGGCCCCTGAACAGCACGTCCTGCGTCGCCATGCGTGGGAAGTTCTCGATGCGGGTCTTGTGGAAGCGCTGCAGCTCGTGGATCACAGCGTTGGTGTAGGGCATCCTCAGCTTGTCCTCCGTGCTGGGGGCACGGCCAGAGCCCACCACGGCATCGATCTCCTCCTGGACCTTGGCTGGGGACAGCAGGGGGCTGGGTGCCTGCTCTGCAACCTCCCCAGTTTTTTACTGGCCTCCTCGGGCACTTATCCTAAACCCAGGGGTGGGCTAGAGGGGGAGCAGCCTTCCCTAATCCCTTGTAAAGCCCAGAACAGTCGCTGCCCTCATCTCTCCCAGCACCAGGCAAGCTCAGAGCATCTCCCACATGGTCCAAGGCCATATGCCGGGCAGGGATGGAGCACAGGGAGAAGCACCAGGATCCCCTGGCCTGTGGGAGTCTGTGTCTAACAGCTCCCACCCTTGGGTGACCCACAGGATGATTTGGGTCTGCCCCCAAACAGGACCCTCCAGGGCTGGGACCCTCTGCCCCACAAGCACCCTGGGCACAGGAGCAGCTGTGTTTGCTGCTGTACCTTGGATGTGGGGGTGCTTTGCCAGCATCAGCAGGAAGAACACCAAGGTGTTGCTGGTTGTCACTGTCCCGGCCCCGAAGAGGTTGAACACTGACATGACCAGGTCTTCGTGGCTGTACATGGTCTCTGGGCTGCCCTTCTCCTGCAAGGTGTGGTGGGGAGGGGCTCAGGGTTGTCTGGGTGATCCTGCAGGCTGCAGCCAGGCTGGAGGGCAGCCCCCCCTCTACCTTCTCTGCTCTGATCAGGAAACAGTCGATGTAGTCCCGGGGGCAGCTGGAGTCCAGAGTCAGCTGGTGGAACTGCACCTTCTCCTGGATGTGGTCCT